CTTTCCTGGCCTGGTTTTTCGCCCCGAGCCATTGTTGACGGCCCCAAGGCCCAGCGAGGGCCCCCGCCGGCCGAAAACGGTCAGACATTACCAATCGTGCTTTCTTCGCGAAATTAACATGTTTGGAAAAGGAGACGATAGGGTGCCAGCGAGGTATGGAGAAGCTCGGGTGTCGCACGGCACCCTGATGTTGCAGCTCAGTCTGCCAGCAGCACGTTCGGCCCCGTCGCTCCTGAACGGCCAGCGCACCTCCGCGTTCTCCACACGCTGCGTCGGCGGCTGCTCCTGGGACCGAGACCCAGACATGCCTGCGTCGTCCGGAAGGTCTTTGGCGCTGTCGGCCTCCAGGGGCACTCTCCGGGCCTCGGGACCGTGAGGAAACGACCCAGGATGAAAAATGGCCTCCGCAGAAGTGTTCGAGACCTCTGGAGGTCGACGTTTTGAGACAGGCATGACGTCGGAGGTCTGGGCACGTGGCGTGGCGTCTGCACGTGGGACCGGACGAACTGCTCCAGAGCTTTCTAGAACGTTCCGACCCGTTACCGATTCGATCCGATTTCGCGACCTGCCGTTTCTTCCCCGGTTTGGCCTCCCCAGGGCTTCTTGGCTGAGGGTCTTTTGGCTGGCGTTGGGCGGTCATCTTCGTGCAAGGCCAGCGGCCGTCGTGCAGAGAATTCGTTCGCTGGCAGCTTGTGGGGCAGGAGCCAGAGCATGAGCAGAAGAAGCAGCAGACGCAAAAGTGGGAGCGGGAGCAGGAGGAGCAGCAGGTGGAGATGCCGAAGGAACACGAGGAAGCTCGGTTCTGCTGTCTTCGAAGTCTCGGACTGGTCTTGTCTGGCTGCTGCGGCAATACGAAATTCATCTGAGGTTTCTGCGATCCAGCACGAGGAGGACGATGAGGATTAGGAGGTGGAGGCTAAGGAGGCTGAAGAGGAGAAGTAGAAGGATGAAAGGGAGGCAGGAGGAGCATTCTCGGGATAGGGCGGACGGTGACGGAGGTGAAGAAAGAGTACCACAGGGAGCCCCAGTGCCAGACATCCAGTGTCTTGCCAGAGCTCTGGATTTTTTCCCCGGGGACCAGCTTCTCATCCTGACACGTCGTCTGAGGATCCTGGGCCCTGTGAAGGCCCCTGGAGTCCGAACCTTGCAGAACAGGGCCGTCGTGGTTCTCCTCGCGACGCGAGGACGTCGGGGAAGGCGGTGCACAATAATGCTTGAGCTTTCCAGTGCGCTGGATGTCCGGGGCCTCCCCCAGCTGCAGGACCAGAGGGGCGAGATCGCCAGCCGCCTCGTGGCCATGGAGCGTGCGCGCCTCCGGAGGCCCGGCAGGCCCGCCCCCCGCCCCCCTCTCGGCGGCCGAGCAACAGCGCCACTGTGCGGCAGCGCGGGAGGCGGAGGAGGAGCCAGCAGGCCAGGGAGGGCAGAGGGGCAGTGGCAGCGTGGGCAGGGGGGGGCAGCGGTGGCATGAGTGGTGCCCGGGTGGGTGCAGGATGGGCGAGGGGCCGGAGGAAGCGGGGCGGATTAGGCGCCCGCGCGCTCGTCTGGAGCTGCCCGCGACGCCCGGCGGCGCTTGGGGACCGCCGCCGTTGGCCTCGATTTTGGCCGCCGCTGCTGCTGCCCGCGGGGCCGGCCTAGGCGGCAGCTCGAGGGACCCACGCCCGCATCTGGGTCGTCCTTGGAGGCGAACTGGCTTTTCATATTGTGGTTTGGATTTTTTCCAGTTCTTCAGAAATGGTTTCACTGCCAGAATCCCAGTTTCTGCAGTTTTTTCAGGAATGGTGCTCTCGCTGCAGCGGGGGCCTCATTTTCGGATCGGCGCCGTGCTCCCGTCATTAAGCATAGCGGTCCCGCCCCAGCGCGGGCCATTTTTCTGGATCTCGCGGGTTTCGCAGGTCTCGCCACACGTTCCACAGGTCCCACAGGTGACGCAAGTCTCACAGGCACCACAGGCCACAGAGATCCCCCCAGGTCGCACAGGTTCCACAATTTCTTTTTTTCCGACTGCGCATAACACGATTGTTTTTTGTGGAGTTCCAGGTCGGTTATGACACGCGTCCGCAGATAGAAAAACAACGCAGTGGGGAAGGATAGGATTGAAGGATCGGATGTCAGATATGACGCGAAGGCACCTAGCTTGTCCCTCCCTCCCCTTCTCCCCCCTTCCCACCTCCCTTACCCCCCCTTTCCTCCTCCTTCTTCCCCTCCTCCCGCCTCCTCCTCCTCCTCCTCGCCCTCCTCCTCCTCCTCCTCCTCCTCCTCCTCCTCCGCCCCCTCTTCCTCCTCCTCCTTTGACCCCTTCCCAGGAAAACAGGCGGGTAGCAGCCCGATCGTCACCGTGATTTGCCCGCAGGAGGCCAAGGGGAGAGAAAATGACTCTCGTCGCCAGCGGCCGCCCATGGAGTGGGCGGTGGGTAGGCTGGGCGTCGGCGCGCGGTCTCCGGCGCCCCCAACCCCGAACAGGACGCGCGGAGCACGGTCTCCTTGCGCGCCGTGTTTCGCGCACCGTTCGCGCCACGGGGGCATGGCCCTGGACCGTCGGCGCCTCTGCTTGAGGTTGGTCTCAGCAGACTGGCGTTAGCAATTGCTCGCCAGTAGATGTCGCGTCAGAAAAGTTAATGTCGAAAATCCTTTTCCTCCTTCTCCTCCTCGCCCTCCCCTTCATCCTCGTCCTCGTCCTCGTCCTGGCCCCCCCCCCCCTCTTCAATTCATTTTCCTCCGATGTGCTCCCCCAGTCGCACCCCGAGGCCGGTCGACAAAGGGCGGCCTGTTTTCAAAATGTGGTTCCTGGCCGTAGCGCGGCGCACGTTCGTCTTCATATTCGACAGAGCTTCGCGGATGGAGGGCGGCCCCTTTTCCAAAATGCGGTTCTCACTTTAGTGCCGCGCGCGTTCGTTTCAAACGTTTGCAACAGCTTGTGCGGATGTAGGGCGGTTATTTTCAAGAGGTGATTATTGCCGCGTCGCTGCGCGCAGTCGTTTCAAAAGTTTGCAATGCAAAAGTGTCGTGGATGGAGGGCGGTTCCTTTTCAAAGTCCGGTTCTCGCATGAGCGTTGCGCGCGCTCGTCGTGCAAGTTTGCAGGAGCTTCGCGGATGGAGATCTATTTTTGTCAACATGCTTTGCTCGCCATATCGCCGCACATGTGCGTCGTGCGAGTTTGTAGACATTTCAAGGAGTCTCATGGCTAACGCCCCAGAAATACCGTTGTGATGCTATGTCGGAACGGCAGGGCGCAACAGCCACGTTGATTCAGTCCCAGGAGTGGCGGTTTGGAACGATTCAGGATCGCCAAGACGCAGCAATAACTGTGATTCGCGGCGTTGAAGCCCCAGAGCAAAACGAAAACGTGTTGGTACAATTCTGGATTTTCAAACGGTTGTTTTCCAACTGGCCGCGCAAGAGCCTGTGGAGAGGGAGTTCGGACGGAAGGTTTACTGCAATATCGTCGGTGGGTCTTGTTTTTACGCTGGTCCTCCTCTTCCTCCTCCCCTCTCATTTCCTTCTCTTCCTCATCCTCTTCCTCTTCCTCCTCCTCTTCCTCCTCCCAGGAATGATGTGGGAGCGTCACCCACCATGCCCAGAAACTGAGGCGCAACAGTTCCAGCTCAGGCTCTGTCATTACCGCGCTCGCCGCGCAGCCACCCTGCATCTCTCGGGTGCGGCAGCGGGCTGGCTCGCGGTGGCGTTCCCGGCCTGACTCGCGACTTTTCGATTTGCAGCGCAGTGGTCACGAGATCCAGTTGAGGCGTATGAGTCAGACAGGCCCAGAACAGGGATAATTTTTCCCAGGTCGTTCCACAACGCTTTGAGAACGATCGATAACGTTCTGAACGGCCGCGGTGCCCGATAAATGCATCAGAACCAGCGGATCCCAGAGATCCCCGACTTATCCCGATCCGATGTAGCCTCGTTCTTGGCTGGCTTCGTTTGACTGAGGTGTGCAGGTGCACCGGACACGTGCCTCGAGTCGTCTCCGATGATGGCCGAGGGGACGCCAGGAGGGTTTCGGCGCCCCCCCCTGCCTCTCCTCCACCCCGCCGTCTGCCCTGCAGCAGCGTGCGGGGACTGCAGTGCGACTCCCAACGCGTGGGGTCCGTAGCGGGGCCGCCTGGATGCCCAAGCGCTTCGAGGCCTGGCTGGTGCTGCCGCCGCCTTGGAGGCCGAAGGGAAAGGAGGGTATGCTCAGGCACGTTTGCCTGGCGTGTCGCGCCACGGGTTCTGGCCGACCACGCTTCGGCGCGACACGCTAGCCACACCTCAACTCCCAGGCGTCAGCTTCCGCTTGCAAGGCACAGCGTCTCGCTGGGGCCGCCAGTGCGACACGCTGAGCAAACAGCCGAGGAGGCACCCCCTGTCGTCCACGCTCTGGCCTCCACCCCCCGTCCGACAGGCAGACGGGCCAGGAGCTGCCCAACGAGGCGGCCGTGGGCTCCTGCCCCGGGGTGGGGGGCAACGGAACGGGGGAGCGCCGAGAGGCGCTCCAGAGGTCGAGGAAGGGCAAGAACGCAGATTCCGGCGCGGGGATGAGCCAGGGGCCTCGCTGCCATGCGAAATCGGCGCGCTGCGTCGCCAGATAAGGCGGCACTGGCTTTATACTTTGAAGTGTTTCCCCGATTCGTGGATCTGGCGCCCACGCGCCAGATCCACGGATTCGTAATCAATGTTAGCACGTGCCCGAAAAGAGCTTGGCCTCCAAGGGATCTAGCCATTGACGTCTCCTCCTCGGCGGAAGGCTGGCGGAAGTAAAGCGAGAGCGATTCCGCCAGCGGATGCAAGAGTTGTTTTCCCAAGAGATGCTGGGATATAGTATTTTCGGGACGTGTCATCTGTCCCAAGGGCGGATGTTACGCAAAGAGCTTTGGAGTTATTGGGCCGCACCCACCCTGCAGCACATTGGAAAAGGGCCCTCCGCCGAGTGCACAAGCTTTCTCCGCTTGAGCATATCCGATTTGAAAGAGATATTCAAGCGGAGAAGTCCAAAGAGACGCGGAGAAGGTATTTCTCCATGGGTTGAAGCACGATAAGAAGCTTGGACCCCGAGCAGTATCCTTGTACTCTCGATGCGCATTCTGCGTCGTGCAAGATACGCGGTGGAAATTTGGTGGTGACTTGAAGTCGTCACTTCCACTGCTTGCGCAAACATCCCACCCTCTCACCCGCAACTTGCTTGGCAGAACCCATTCGGTCACGAGTGCAGTTGCTGATTGGCACTTGCTGGCTCATCTCTGCGGCCGCGCAGGCGCGCGCACGCTCGCGCCCAAAGCGAGCAGCTGGTTTGGCACAACTGATGCAGCCGCGATGGCGCTTACCGAGGGGGATTCCCCGTCGCGTTTCCAAGGCGCGGGCACTTCAGTGCGGGTTAGTGATTCGGGTGGGCGTGATTCGTATGGGCGCAGTATCATGATGACGTCGGCAACGGCGGCAATGATGATGTTCATAACGATGGTGTTGATGATGATGACGATGACGACGGCAAGGCCAATGGCGACGTCGATGCTGATGCTGGTCACGACGCTGGGGGGTGGGTTTACCTATATGTTTGCGATGATGAAGGAGGTCCGTGTGTTGATGATGGCGGCGATGGCGGCGATTTGCGTTGACGACATCGGAAGTGCGCGCGCTCAAAAGACATGAAGTTTGGCAGCTTGTTGTTGAACAACAGTTGGTTGTCATATGGTGCTGAACAGCGGTCTCTTGAAATGCCTCGAACACAGGTAGTTTCAGAAGGATTTCGGCACGCGCGAATGGCGGCGCACGCACGTGGTCCGCCCACTGCGCTTATTCGATACGGACTCGTGCCGTTGGCGCATGCTACATCAAAGCGGATACACCGCGTGGTGAAATAAGATGGCTTGGGGCTAAACTCACATGTTTTCTTGTCATGTCAGCAATTGCGGACGGGCAGGCCAGTCGCAATATTGTTTAATGAAAAACAATAGGTGCACGAGGCTGCAATGTGAGTATCTGCGCAAACAAATTTGCGTGGTAGGAGTTCGACATGTGTGCGACCGTCTGAACTTCGCCATGCGTTTCCCAAAGAATTCTGGCAGTTGTTGAAAGAGACACGGGCGCGTGGATTGTTTGTGTTAGACACGGATGGAGGGAAATAGATACAAGTTGCACGCGTGACTTGCCTCTTGCACAAAGGAGGGGCGAACCACCACAAAACACTACCAAAATAAAGGATTCCGCGGCCCAGGGGGGCTGCCTTGGGAAGCCTGGACGGAGGAAAGGTCCCAAGGGGTGGTGGCCCAGGGGAGCTGGGGCTCAGGCTCAGCCACGAACCACGACGAACATAAAGGGTTCCGCGGCACAGGGGTGCTGCCCTGGGAAGCTTGGACGGAGGAAGGCTCCCAAGGGTGGGTGGCTCAGGGGGGCTGGGGCTCAGGCTCAGGGGGGGGGGGGGGGCGGGGGGGGACTAACCGCCACGAGCCACGACGAAAATAAAGGGTTCCGCGGCCCAGGGGGGCTGCCCTGGGAAGCCTGGACGGAGGGGGGGGTCCCAAGGGGGGGTGACCCAGGGGAGCTGGGGCTCAGGCTCAGGGGAGGGGCCGAGGGGGGACGAACCACGACGAACCACGAACCACGACGAAAATAAGGATGTCCGCGGCCCAGGGGGGGAGGCCCAGAGGGACGAACCACCATAAACCACCACCAAAATGAAGGATTCCGCGGTCCAGGGGGGCTGCCATGGGAAGCCTGGACGGAGGAAGGCTCCCAAGGGGGGGTGGCCCAGGGGAGCTGGGGCTCAGGCTCAGGGGGGGTCGAGGGGGACGAACCACCACGAACCACGACGAAAATAAAGGGTTCCGCGGCACAGGGGGGCTGCCCTGGGAAGCTTGGACAGAGGGGGGGTCCCAAGGGGGGGTGGCCCAGGGGCTGGCTGGGGCTCAGGCTCAGGGGGGGGGGGGGGGGCGAGGGGGACGAACCACCACGAGCCACGACGAAAATAAAGGGTTCCGCGGCACAGGGGGGCTGCCCTGGGAAGCCTGGACGGAGGGGGGGTCCCAAGGGGGGGTGGCCCAGGGGAGCTGGGGCTCAGGCTCAGGGGAGGGGCCGAGGGGGACGAACCACGACGAACCACGAACCACGACGAAAATAAGAATGTCCGCAGCCCAGGGGGGCTGTCCTGGGAAGCCTGGACGGAGCAAGCCTCCGAAGGGTGGGTGGCCCAGGGGAGTTGGGGCTCAGGCTCAGGAAAGGGGCCGAGGGGAACGAACCACGACGAACCACGAATCACGACGAAAATACAGATGTCCGAGCTCTAGAGCACAGCTGTGCAAGAGAACCAGCCTGGTTGTGATGGTAGTATTTCATATGGGGAACGGGCGTTCTCGGCACAACCATAAGTAAGTTGCAACACAGCAAGGTGAATTGTTAAGTCTAGCCTCGGGAGGGTGGTAGAGGTGACTTCTTTTTTGGAAGGAGAATGTACGGTGTGTAAGCGTTGTGGTGCTGTGTATGTGGTGATATGTATTGAAAGCTATTCGGTGTAAGCTATGTGGTGCAGGCCATTTGGTGCAATACGGGTGCAGCTATGGAGTAGGTAGCACTGGGCGCCCATTGGCGGATACTTGCCTAACGCGCCCTTGGACTCTGCTTGAAACAGGTTGGGACCCAGGTTGTGATTCCTGGGAATCTTGCCAGGAGCGAGGACATGCAGGAACGCGAGCGTCGTGGGATCGTCTTTACCTATATTCTCCTCGCGACTACCAGCAAATACCTTGGAACGCCCCTCACGGAGATATAAACCAGTTTGATCCGGTTTATTATTTGTGACATCGTGTTGTCCCCTCTTTCTTCTTCCTCCTCGCGTGTTTCTTATTCCTCGCCATCCTCCTCCTCATCTGCCTTCTCTTCGTCGTTGTCGTCCGCCTCCTCCTGCTTCCCTCCTGTTCTTCTTCTTCCCCTCTCATCATCCTCCTCCTCCTTCTCCTCCTCCCCCCAACCGAGCGTTTGGCAGTTAGCGCTTGACTCCAACCCACGTCCATATAAATTCTCCTCATGCTCTTCCTCGTCTCCAGCCCATTTCTCCCGCCCCTCCAACTCCGCCTCCTGTTACCTCTCCTTCTCCTCCTCCGTCTACTCATCCGCTTGCCGCCACGTCTTCTCCCTGCTGTTCCCCTCCGCCTCTTCCTCCTTCACCGTGCAGGCTGTGGGAGCCGCTGGAGGCACCGGGCGGTCCCCGACGTTGCTATACGATCTGGCCTCCCCTGGCCGTCCCGGCAGGCCCTCTGTAGAAATCCCCCGCGCGGGTCCTGGGTGTCATTGGAGCTTCCCTGGCCGCCCCGCTGGGCCTTCCAAGAAGCCTCACGCAGCGCCTCAGTAGCGAGTGCAGTTTCGAGAAGGACGGTGTGTTTCCCACGCAAGGCCCAGGGGCGGTCCCTCACGCACGTCGCTGTGCGATATTTGGCTCCCCTTGGCCGCCCCGCCGCGCCCTATGGAAGGAACGCTCCACGCGGGGCCAGGGACGACAGCAGCAGGATGGAAGTTTTTCCTTCGATAGGTGCAGGGGCAGTCCCCGACGTTGCCGTGCGACTTCCCCCTCCCCCACCCCCCTGGCCATCCCGCCGAGCCTTCTAGGGAGCGGCGCGCGGGGCTCGAGAAATGGTGGCGATTTCACGGATGATGGCTTGTCCGTGAAGGAGGCAGGCTCGGCGAAAATTAAGAAGTGGCGACAGTGTCACACTTGAGGCCCCGAGCCAACTCGGACGCCCCTCGGCGGGAAGCCCGGCCCCCCAGATCGCGGTGTGGTTTAGCCTCCCCCCGCTGCCCCGTTGGGCCTGGAGAGGGCGTTTTTGTGTCGCTTTCGCTTGTAAGAAACATTTACGCCGCCCTTTCGGTGATGACGGAGGGCAGGCGGCGGGGGTTGGCAGATTGGTTGGGTGCCGGGGTGGCTGGTTGGTTGGGTTGGTTGGTTGGGCCGGCTAGGGCAATTGGTTTCGACCTTGGTATTGTTGTCGGGCCTGGTAATTTCTCTTTTTCCTGAGCTGGCCCTGGGCTTACGCTCGTGCAGCGCACCTGGCATGTATCCATGGACTCTAGCTCGTACTCGTGAAGGCGGCCGTCTGCTACATTGTGTTTGCGCTTTCTTGTTTACAGTGCACCGCGCAGTTCGATGCGCCTATGCCCCATCCTCCCCACATGGCTCGCACCGAGCTCAAAGGTCTCGGTTGCTCACGAGATGCTCCTCGCATGGCTTACCGTCAGGTCCTCTGTTGTCCCCGCTCTTCTCCAGACTTCGGGGGCCGTGCCCCCGCCTCTCGCGTCGACCTCTCGCCCTCTGATTTGTGTTGCCCAGACCTTCCTGGATGCACTTGGTGGCGATGACGGAGGTGTATTGTGTCGCCAGCACCCTTGGCATAAGAGTTCGGTGTACGTCAGGCTTCATTGTAATGTTCAAGCCGTGTCTCGGACTCCGATTGCTCCCTCTTTAAAGTGTAGAATAGACACGGCTTATCTGTGTCCTCGACCGACCCTTGCTGCACGGTCGTGGCATTGGGCCCCCGCCGTTGGGCGTGATTCGGACCAACCTCTGATGGCGTATCGGAAGATGGCTTCGAAATTTCCGAATGTTGTTAAGGTTTCTGCCCTTCGGACCTCCACGTACGACTGGTGCACCTCAGGCCCGCTTGGAGGTTCGGACGAAATAGTGCCTATCTTGCCCATTCGTGAGTGTCTTATCGTCCTTACCGCTCCTTCCTCACCTCCTTCCTGCCTTCCTTGCTTCCCCCGACGATCGAGCGCATGCAATGTGTGTTTCAGTTGTGCCGTTTCCCACCAACACCTGACCTAGGGTTTCTGTTGGTTTGACTTTCTAGTTCTTAGCAATCCCTGTAAACTGTCCAAGGTTCCCAAGGGAGATCGGCTTCGCTTTGATTTCCAAGCTCGCCTTTTGCAGTAGCATAGCAAGCACCCTTCCCTGGAATCGTTTATTCATTAGCCAAGTGGCTGTCCATGCACTGTCTCTCCCTCCACGGGGTCATGTTGGCTGCCTGTGCTGGTCTCTTCCTTCGGTGTGTGGCTTGTCGCTTGCCCACTTTGGGGTAGCGCCCCCCACAGAGGTGCAATAAGGTCCTCTCAGACAGCCACACCCCGTGCATAGATTCGAAGTATTACCTTCTGCAACCTCGCTTGTGGCAGTGTTACTCCTCCTCGCGTTGTACGCCAGTGGCCCGCGCACACGGAAGGCCCAGCCTTTGCAAGTTATGGCCGAGTCGGCGGGGTTAGCCCCGCTGGTTGCTCAGGTGGTCAAGGCATGCAAGCAGGTGCTCGGCGAGCTTGGCTCCTTCATCACGGAGCCCCTCCTCCGACTCGTGAAACGCATCGTGCGCCACAGCTCGCCATGAAGAGAACGGGGTGCGCAGCGAGACGAGTCCTGAAGCTTCTCACCGTTCTCGGCCTCCCTGGCCTGCTCAGGAAAGCTTCGGGATGATAAGTCGGCTCCTGGACCAAACCTTGGGTCCAGGACCCGCCTCGCACCCACCACACCACAGCGCAGCAGGGGTCGGCCAAGAGTTCTGGGACTTCGGAGGAGTTCACTGATTCTGGGCTGCGCTGCCGCAAGGTGCCTGCCCGGCACGGGCAGCTCTGGAAAATTCGTACAGTTTGGCGAGCTTCGTTCGAATTTCGCGCTAGGAGCAACGTGGTCCACATCAAGTGCGGTGCTGGCGTCGCGCAACCACGCCACGGGCGAATCGATAAGACCTTTTCCTGAGTCACCCGCGGGGGCGCGAAGATAAGCACGCTCCACGCTTCGCGGTCTGGGCCAGAGGTCGCCCGAGCGGTTGCCGTTCTCCTCTGGGCCCGCCAGCGCGAGGGCGCGAAGCGAATCGTCCCTTGGTCGGAGCGAATCACGACTCGAGCCCCAGATCCCATCTGTTTCCGCCATCTTTCGAGCCAGGTCGATCTGTGAGGGCTCCAGGGGGCCGAATCTGGGCGAGAACTCTGGGCTCTCAAAAGTTGAAACGCCAGGATCCCAGGGGACAATGGGTCACGATTGCTCGCTGACCCTTTCATTCCAGCTCATTCCCTTTACTCCGGCTTGATCCCATGATCTTGCACGACCCTACGGTCTTAATCCGGCTTGATCCCGGGTATCATCTGGCCTGGTTCGGCTCAACGGCCGCTTGATCGGGACTAATAGGCCTTACTTGCTCTGACGCGAAAACCTTCCAGGAGTCGCCTCCGATCGAAGAGACAAAACAAATGCGTAAACATACATTTTCGACGGAGGTCCGAAAGTTGATGTTTCTGCAGTTTGTTCTTCTTCTATCCTAGCTTCCTGCCCCCCACCCCCAGGCTCGTTCAGATCGCTCTCGCGTGCGGGCTGTGGCTGGTCCCTCCCTGCATCGCGCGCGCGGCATGCATCTTGCTACCAACGCGGTGCCCTCTCTTCGTCGAGGGAGCGCAAACTCCGAGGGTCGAGGAAGAAAAAGCGGCATACAGTCGAGATGCTGAAACAAGGACCTGTTCGAGCTGTGTTTGTACGATGCCTGTAAGCTTAAATTTCCGGAGCTCCGCGCGGATTCCTTGGATCGGCGGTGGGGCCCTTCTGGCGGCGCCTCCAGCGCCGCCCCTGGCGCGCTCCGCGCGCCAAGGAGAGGGGCCCAGCGCCGATCCAAGAAATCCGTCCGGCGCCCCGAAAATATATGTTTATGCAGTTTTTTACCCGAGAGGTCCCGATACCGCTGATCTTTCTGGAAAGCAGTCGTCGCCACGGCTGGATTATCCTTGAAATTCTAGCCAGGAGGCTCCCGAGGAGAGATCTGTCGGGCAGCGGTAGCGGTAGCATTTCGTTTGTCGCCTCACAAGCGTCCGACGATGGGACTTTTTCAGTCCGCGGCCCTAGACATCCCGACCACTTCCCCGGAGGTCGAGTTATTTTCATCCTGGATCTGGTTTTGATGGTCGCGGGGCCCCGAGGGTGGCCCACGGAGGCCGAGATGGTACGAAGCGCCCGGGCTGAAAAAAAACCATGTCTCGGTTGTCTAGGGCCGCTGGATGGGACCGGGACCGACGACGACGACGACGACGACGACGACGGAGACGAAGACGAAGGAGACGAAGACGACGAAGACGAAGGCGAAGACGACGACGCGAACACGACGATGACGACGAAGACGAAGACGGAGACGAAGACGAAGACGAAGGCGAAGACGACGACGGCGACGACGACGGCGACGACGACGACGACGACGACGACGGCGACGACGGCGACAGCGTCTCACAGACGCCGAAGGGTCGGCGGATTTCGCATGTCTGAGGCCGCTGCACTGCCCGCGGAGTCTCTCGGGGAGGGGTGAGCCCGCCGCCTGCCTCCCTCCTCCTCTGCGGCCGCCCTCGTCCGTGTCCCGCGGCATGTGCGCTATTCGCTTGGCAGCGCCCCCCTCAGGCTCCAGACGCGGTGCGCGATCGCCATCGCTGCGACTCATAACGTGTGGGGAGCTGCAGCTGGGAGCCTGAGATCCGGCGCCGCGAAAAATGCCCCATCGGGAAAAGTCACGGCCAGAGCCCTACACCCCATCTGTCTGCGCCATCTGTCAAGCCAAATTGATCGATTTGTGAGGGCCCGGGGGCAGAAACCTGGCGCAGACGCCCGGCTCGTAAAAGTTGTCACGCCAGGATCTCGGGGGAAGATGGGCCCCGACTGCTCGCTGGCCCTTCCTGCCCCCCCCCCCCCCCCGAGGCTCCTTCAGATCGCCCTCGCGTGCGGGCTGTGGCCGACAGCTCCCTGCAGCGAGCAAAAAGGGCGACACCGGGATCTCAGGGAAGCAGTCGGAGGGCACCAACTATACACCAACACCGATCCTGGCCCAGGATCACCCTGGGCCCAGGATCGGTGTATATACCTTCTTGCGCAAGGCAGGAGGGCGTATACACCGATCCTGGGCCCAGGGTGATCCTGGCCAGGATCGGTGTTGGTGTATAGTTGGTGCCTTCCTAGCAGGAGCGGCCGCAGACCAAGAGGGGCAGGCATATTGGCGAGAGAGCGGCGCAGCACCCACGAGAGGGGACAGCGCTGCACGGCGGGGCGCGAGGCGTGGGGGCAAGCGCGCTGTCTGCACGATCGGCCAGGGCCAGGGCCAGGGCCCCCGCACGGTGGGGTGGGGGAGACGCATGCGAGCACCCCCACTGGGGCTTTCGGTGGAGCTCCCTATGGGGCCACGAAGCGCTGTCCTGGGTGGGGGAGACGCATGCGAACACCCCGATTGAGGCCTTCGGTGGAGCTCCCTATGGGGCCACGAAACGCTGTCCTGGGCGGAGGAGACGCATGCGAACACCCCGATGGAGGCCTTCGGTGGAGCTCCCTATGGGGCCACGAAGCGCTGTCCTGGTTGGGGGAGACGCATGCGAACACCCCGATTGAAGCCTTCGGTGAAGCTCCCTATGGGGCCGCGAAATATTGTCCTGGGTGGGGGAGACGCATGCGAACACCCCGATTGAAGCCTTCGGTGAAGCTCCCTATGGGGCCACGAAGCGCTGTCTTGGGTGGGGGAGACGCAGGCGAACACCCCGATTGCCTTCGGTGAAGCTCCCTATGGGGCCACGAAACGCTGTCCTGGGTGGGGGAGACGCATGCGAACACCCCGATTGAGCCTTCGGTGGAGCTCCCTATGGGGCCACGAAGCGCTGTCCTGGGTGGGGGAGACGCATGCGAGCACCCCGATTGAAGCCTTCGGTGAAGCTCCCTATGGGGCCGCGACTGGGCTGGGGAGACGCATGCGAACACCCCGATTGAGGCCTTCGGTGGAGCTCCTTATGGGGCCACGAAGCGCTGTCCTGGGTGGGGGAGACGCATGCGAACACCCCGATTGAAGCCTTCGGTGAAGCTCCCTATGGGGCCACGAAACGCTGTCCTGGGTTGGGGAGACGCATGCAAACACCCTCAGTGGGGCCTTCGGTGGAGCTCCCTATGGGGCCACGAAGCGCTGTCCTGGGTGGGGGAGACGCATGCGAACACCCCGATTGAAGCCTTCGGTGAAGCTCCCTATGGGGCCACGAAACGCTGTCCTGGGTTGGGGAGACGCATGCAAACACCCTCAGTGGGGCCTTCGGTGGAGCTCCCTATGGGGCCACGAAGCGCTGTCCTGGGTGGGGGAGACGCATGCGAACACCCCGATTGAAGCCTTCGGTGAAGCTCCCTATGGGGCCACGAAACGCTGTCCTGGGTTGGGGAGACGCATGCAAACACCCTCAGTGGGGCCTTCGGTGGAGCTCCCTATGGGGCCACGAAGCGCTGTCCTGGGTGGGGGAGACGCATGCGAACACCCCGATTGAAGCCTTCGGTGAAGCTCCCTATGGGGCCACGAAACGCTGTCCTGGGTTGGGGAGACGCATGCAAACACCCTCAGTGGGGCCTTCGGTGGAGCTCCCTATGGGGCCACGAAGCGCTGTCCTGGGTGGGGGAGACGCATGCGAACACCCCGATTGAAGCCTTCGGTGAAGCTCCCTATGGGGCCACGAAGCGCTGTCCTGGGTGGGGGAGACGCATGCAAACACCCTCAGTGGGGCCTTCGGTGGAGCTCCATATGGGGCCGCGAAATATTGTCCTGGGTGGGGGAGACGCATGCGAACACCGGATGAGGAGGAGGAGAGGAGAGGAGAGGAACGCGGGGCGCTGTCTCTTCAAAACGAGGACCCAACACAACAGGATGGTTGGGAAAAACACAAAACTAAACCAGGCGCCTGCAGCAGGCTTTACTGAAGAAGTGAGCAGTGGTGCATGCAACCTGGTGGACTCACTTGGAGTAAACCCAACGTCCCAGTCTACTACTTCACGTCCTTGAGCTCACGGCGTGGTGCGAGGAGCATGGTCGTCGTCGATCATAAGTCCCGCAAGCTCCTGCCACGTCAACGCCCCACAGGGTAGTGGGATGGATGCGATCAGCACGCGGTGACAGAGGGCGCAGAAGTCGATGCGTGGTTTGCGTTGCATACGTATGCTCACCAGTTGTCCCCAGCTGCCGTGGGAGGTCATGGAGGTCAGGAGCAGGACCCCTGGCTCCCGAGCTGTGGGTCCCCACCTCCTCAGGGCCGGGGGCAGGGCGTCGCCGCCTCGCATCCCTGAGGCACGGGGGTCCCCGCCCCCCCCCCCCGGGGAATGCACCTCCCAGGCCATGGACGGTGGCACAGGGCGTCGGCGCCTCGCACCCGCGAGATGCGAGGGCCCCCGCCCCCCCCCCCCGGGGAATGCACTTCCCAGGCCATGGACGGCGATGCAGGCGGCCGCATCTGCTGCAGATGCCGTCGTCCCCGAGTACTAGCGCGGACGCGGCTGCCAGCGTGGACGTCGGGACTTCTCTGTGGGTGGTGCTGGTCCTGCCCGATCCGGATTAGCGATCCAGCTCCGTAGCTGATCCTGATCATGCTGGTGCATGCCGCATGCAGCGTTCCGCGCTGCAGGCGAGAGCGCGTCAAGCCATCGTAGGACAGCAGCCCCGCGGTTGGCGCCCTCGCGCCACGCGCGGTCGCACATCTCACGCGCAAGTTGTTCAGCAGTTTGACCCCGAGCTGCTAGCGCCCATCGAAAACGCAGGTGCTGGAACTCCACTGTGCTGTCTTTCCACTCAGCCTCGTCATCTGGTTGTGCTCCGTCCCTCGCGCTGTGGATCCAGCTCCGTGCCCGGCGACGCACCTCCCGTTCATGGGCTGGTGCGGGTGCACCCTCACGGGGCGGCCGTCTCCTGGGCGCAGAGGATGGTGTCGTAGTTGTCGAGGTGACCCTGCCGATGCCCCACCTGCTGCTGGACCTGCCCCTTGCAGTTGCTGGCGGACTATCGGTGCACTTGGACGTCTCATTCTTCCGAACCGACTGAGCCTCGTCTCCAGGTGGTGGTCGTTGATCGCGCGGTAGGTAGTGTCGAAACCCAGGACATTGTGCACCATCAATTTCTTCTTCGATGTAGTGGTAGGTCGGGCGGTCCAAGAAGCGCACCCGTCTGGCCCGATGGGTCGGGCACTGGGCTACCCACGCGGTGGGTCCGCTCCTTTGCTGGCACCTTTGCCTGCAAGGACCGCCGCTGCACGCTCCTTGGCAGACTGCTTGGCTGCCCACCAGTTGTTCCAGCCCACCGCGAAGCAATCCGCGTGGACTCTAGCCGTGGGGAAGCGTGATGACGTAGCCGGGGCGATCCCAGATCCGAGCTTCAGGCGAGTAAGTTGTGTCGCCGTCTGAGGTAACCACATGGCTGAAGTGTGCCGCAACGCCCTGGCCTACATGAAGGTCGACCTCAGGCCGCACCCGCCCTCTGGCGAGCATAGCACGGTGGGCGCGGTGCTAGCTCCATATGCTGTGCGCTGGCTCGCCCCTGTCATAGTGGTCATCCTGCGACGCGGAGCTCCACGGTGGTCGTGCCGCCGCCGAACGCTCGGCCCTCCAGCGGAGCGAACTTCGGCTAGCGATGGCGCGCAGAAAAGGAACGAAACCTGACGCGTCCCGCCATCGACTGATAATCATGCCGCGCGGGGGCATGCGACCCCGCAAACACGAGAAACGACGCCAGAATCGCTCGAGCCAGAGCCTTGAGAAGGCGCTTCCCGTCATCCGCCGAGTGGACCCCCCAAATGCAATCGCGACCCAGTTGTCCCTCGCGTGTTAGCTGACTATTAGTAAGTAGGAAGCGTGGCCTAACAAACTCCCAGCACCTTCTCGTTCCGAGAAGGCGCTTTTGAAGACGCAACCCCACTCTGAGAGGTCTCGCGAGTTCCCACATAGCCAGCCACAGGACCGACTAGCGCGCGTGCGCGTCCGCAGACGTCACATACGAGGCTACCACCCACTGGTGGAAGGCCCGCACGACAGAGCACGGCCCTCTGGCCGAGCGCTGGGATTCAAACGGCGCAACGCGCAGCGTGCAGGATAAGCATAGTCCAGTGCCGCAGGAGCCGCCCTGACCAGCAGATGCAAAGTCGGCAGCGCTCGACGTGGGATACGGAGAGGCGACAGACAGTCAGGTCGACCACTTGCCTGCGGCTGCAGGCCGAGCCAAACTCAAAGTCACCAAGCAGCGGGCCTAGGAATTGAGGCAGAGAAGACAAGCACAGACGTTGGAAAAACACAAAACTGAACAAAATGATGGTCGGTGCATCACTTGGCACGGCTGGGGCGCGGGATATTGCGGTTCGCCGTAGCCCGCGGAGTCAATTGTCCGCTCACGCGCGCCTTGAGATCACTGAACTGTGAGACGTAGTCCGCCGCGAACCAGCGCAGGTTGACCGAATTCAAGCCGCGCCACCGAGACGAGCAAATTCCCCAACATTGCCACCTTGTGAACGCGATGCGTGCCTTCCGATACAGTGTAGGCTTCGCTCGTGAAATGGTCTGGAGATCCACGTCGTCGAGGAAGCACTTAGTACGCGCCGACAGGCGCCGTTTAGCAGGTACAGTCACAGCGGGAACAATAGTAGAAGCCATCTGCAAAGGCCTCGAGCCAAACGCCCGTACTGGGGCACCACCGTGGTGAGTACATTGCCCCACGTGGCAAGAAACATTAAACGCCGACCCGTGCGCCAGAGCCCATCCCTTCGTTTGTGTCACACCGTAAGATGGATCCACTGAGCTCAGCTTTACCACAACGTCCTGGTCTTCCGAAAGAAGGGCCCTGACCTATGGCCACCCCCTGGCGGCCAGGGGCCGGCTGGTTCGGTTATAGCTCCTCATGCTGTGCACCGGCTTGCTCCCGTCATGAGTGGCATCCGACGAAACGGAGCTCCACGGTGGTCGTGCCGCCACCGAACGCTCGGCCCTCCAGCGTTGGGTATTTCGGCTAGCGATGTCGATAAGAAGAGAAGCGAAACGCAACATGCCCCGCCATCGACTGAGAATCATGCTGCGCGGGGGCTTGCAACCCCGCTGACACGAGAAACGACGCCAGAATCGCTCGAGCCAGGGCCTTAAGAAGGCGCTTCCCGTCTTCCGCCAAGCGATCTACTCTCACGGCCGGCAGCCAGTTGTCCCTCACGTCATAGTTGATTATGTACACCTTATTCAGTAATGCTAGAAAACTCCCAACACCTTCTCGTTCCGAGAAGGCGCTTCCCGTCATCCGCCAAATGATGTACCTTTACGGCCGGCAGCCAGTTGTCCCTCGCGAGTTTTGTCTTCATGTATACCTTATTCTGCACATGCTAGAAAACTCCCATTACCTTCTCGTTCCGAGAAGGCGCTTCTCGTCATCCGCCAAGCAAAACAATTTCTGTTGCAGGGAACCCGTTGTCCCTCGCGAGTTTTTTTTTTATTTATGTATTCCTTGTTCAGCATAGCCTAACAAACTCCCATCGTCTTCTCGTTCCGAGAAGGCGCTTCCCGTCAACCATTGCACAAGCATAGACTTTCCGAGCTCCGCGCGGATTTCTTGGATCGGCGCTGGACCCCCCTCCTTGGCGCGCGAAGCGCGCCTGGGGGCAACGGACGCGCCGCCAGGGGGGTCCCACCGCCGATCCGAGAAATTCGCGCGGAGCTGCGAAAAAATATGGTTGTGCCGTTTTCTGTTCCTCTAGACTCTAGGCCACGGAGCCCCTTCCCAGGTTTCTCCCGAGCTCCTCTTTGGTCCATGTGGCGCTCGGCCTGGATCCGACGGCGTCGTCGAGGGCTCCAGGAGCGGGGGCCCGAAAGCCACCAGGGCTCGCAGGCCCATGCAGCTGGACCAGAGGTGGGGTTCCCCACTGCATGTTTCCGCCCGTACCCTGAGAGATCCTGACGCCTCGCGAGACGGACGTCTTCACCCGGTGTCGGGCCCCGGGGCCCTCACAGATCGCTCTGGCTCGAAAAACAGCGCAGGAAGAGGGGGTCCGGGCTCTGGCCGTGGTTGTTCACGATGTTGCCATTTTTTCCGTGCGCCAGATCTCAGGGTATGCATGTGTATGCCATTGCGGGGCCGCCAGTTTCCAGGCCTCCCACATGGGGCTGGGGCAGATGGGGTCGGAGGATCGCGCAGCATCGCCGATGCATCGGCGATACGATGCGATCTGGAACCTGTTTTTCTCCATCCCGCCGTCGCAGATGCATCTTGTCGATGCCGGTCTTGTTGACGGTATCTTGTCGACGCCGGTTTTGGTATGGTCCATGTTGGCCGTCGCCGACTCGCGAGGATGATCCATGAATTGACGGTGACCAAGATGGACGGTGACCAGGATCGACACCGAGGTTTCCGCATTCAGTTCTGGTCATGGTCACCGCTCTGTTTCCCCTCCACCTGTGCTTTCCCCCCCTTCGTCCGATCTGATTGGCCTTCTGGGGGGGGGTTCTCGCCCCCACGGCTGGCGAGCACACACACACACACACACACACACACACACTGTGGACAGGTGCAGAAGAGAAAGACCCGGCGGCTCGAGGGATGCCAGGGCTCGTTCGATTTGGTGCCTCTTGCGGGCTTGTTTCGTGCTCTGGGGCCGTCAAAAGCAGGACGAAACATTGGCAGTAGGGAAGTTCCGATTCGCGCAGGCCGATCGCGAGTACGGCTTCAGCCTTGGGGACGATGGGAGGCCTGGGCCAGTTTTCCCCTCCAGTCTGAGCCTTAGTGGGCCGTGAAATCGACAGGGCCATTGCTATTGCTCGTTGTTTTCTCTTATTTGTGCCAGTTCCAGCGAGGAGTTGTCCTTATTCCGTCGCCATTTGTGTCCAGTTTCAGTTCCTATCCCGGAGGAATTGTTTCCCGTTTCCAGGAGCCGCTCGTTTTTCATTGTTTCAATGTTCCAGAACAGTTTTTGTTCTGAACATTGCCCCCAAAAAAATGCCTTGCCGCTTTCGGGGCCCACTACAGACAAAGATGAGCAATTTTCTACGGCTGCTCTTGCATCCGTGCCTATTCGGTCCATCCTTGCCAGCTTTTCGCTGGCCAGCGCCGTTCGAAAAATGTCAACATGGCCTTCCAAGACCCTTGCGTCCTTACCGCGCATCCTTATGTTGCGTTTTGACTGTAAGGTCTGGGCGCCCCTCCGTCCCCGACAGGAGGGCCTGCCCTCCGAGTCCGTCTCGTCCAGCGGCGGCTCTGACAGGGACGAGGCTCCGCGCCTGCGCGGCCCGCCTCTCTGGCCGGAGCCCAGCCGCGCGCAAGAAGAGCGGGTCCGGGGTCCCCAAGCCGCACGGTGGCGGACCGCGCGGTGACTTCGACATCCCAAGGAGGCTCTGAGATCCTGGCGTCTCAATTCTTTCGAGCCGGGCGTTTTCTCCGGGTTTCGGGCCCTGGGGCCCTCACAGATCGCTCTGGCTCGAAAAACTGCGTGGTTCGGCCCTCCGTTGGCCCTCCCGGAGGCGTCCCGTCGCCACGGCCGAAGGCGCCTTTGAGAGGCGGGCCAGGGCGGGCCCCCGGAGGGGTCCGACTCCAGGGGGCGATGTTGAACGCATTTGGGGTCTGGCAGGGGTGTCGCACCAAACAGTGGACGATTTTGAACGATTGGGTGTCCAGGGGTCGAACAGGGAACTCCAGGGTCCGATTTTGAACGATTTTGAACGCATTTGGGTGTCTCCATTGGCCATCCTCCGACAAAGGTCACCCATGCCCAGGGTCACCCGCGCGTGCAGCCGAGAGGGGGGCCAGCTCCAACCGGGGTCGGCCAGCCCCTCTGATCTCTGGTCGCTGCTGGTTGGCCCTATGAGGCCGAGCCCCACACCAGCCCCTCCCTCCGCTGACCTGGGCTTGGGAGCTACGCGGCCAGCGGGGGCTCACGTCCCCCAGGTGCGGGGGTCTTGAAGCGCAGTTCACATGCATCGGCGCGAAAACAAAGGGGCCCTGAAGGCCTTTCGTTGTGTTCGGGCTCCCGCGGCACTCCGGGCCTTGGGACAGTACCACAGACCGCCAGATGCAAGAAGATACCCCAGGGACTGCTCCAGGGACCAGGACCCATCTGCACCAGGACTCCGTTCCCTCGTGCCAGATGCTTCGTCGCGTACAGTCGGGGCCTTGAAGAAGGAACCTTTTCGTTGGGGAGGGGCTCCGCGTTCCTTAAGTGTTTCACAGCTTGCCGCAGGTTTTCCTTATGCTTTCGATTGGAAATCGAAGTTTAACTTATGGAAAAAAGGGGCCTCGTTCCTTTTTCAGGGTTCCTTAGGTCAACGCCCCGACTGTATACGTACACACGCGTATACACTAAAGCAGCGCATCAAAGACCCATTGCGGGTTCAGGAGGGGCTTTGATCTTCGGGCCCTCCTTAGATCTGGATCGGGGAACCTGCTCTTTGCCGAGGCCCGTGGTGGCCACAGGAGCCCCTTCGTTCCTTCTTCGGCGTTCCTCTTTTGGTGGCGCGGTGACCGCATTCGGCGCCCTACGAGTCCCCGGGTGCAGTCCAGCTGCTATGCGCTCGTGCCGTCAGGTGCGACTTGTTGGGCACCCCCTCCCCCCGTCGTCCTCCTCCTCCTCCTCCTCCTCCTCCTCCTCCTCCTCCTCCTCCTCCTCCTCCCCTCCTCCTGCTTCTCCTGCTTCTCCCCCTCGGATCGGATCGGATGAACTAAAGCCAATGTGTCAATGTGAAGCCTCTTTCAGGGAGGAGCGACGGAGGAAAATGGAAAAGGATTGGAGGGCCATCTCGTCGTTGGCAAGCCGCCATGGGCATTCAGTTAGATATCATGGGCCCGCACCAGCAACACACACACACACAAACGACCAAAAGAGAGGAGAAAACGGCAACGGGATCAAGGTAGGAACGGATCCAGCGGTTTCCAGAAGTCCGACGAATTTTTAGAATTCCTCTCACCACAATCCGCACTGAGAGTGCATCCCTCCTGCTGCCTCTCCTGATGCCACTTCAGTGAAATCACGCGTGCAATCTCAACGTTGACTTCTGACGGGAACGCAGTCAACATAATCCTTGCAATCAGACTCTGCGGCGTATTACCGCGATTATTCTTACAGCAACTAACAGCAACCCCACCCACTGTTGCGCAACACCTCCTCCAGCTTGGTTCAGCTGGCCGAGCCGAACAGTCTTGGGCTCCCAGCGCAAAAGCTTGTTTCAGCTAAGGAAACCAGTCGCAACGATCCTGCTGCCTGGGTCCCTGGGGCAATGGAGTCTAACAGGCACCGAATGGGATCTCGCAGCCATGGCAAGAGCAAGGAGCGAATGGAATTTCGCGGCAAGGCGAGAGCAAGAGCAAGGCAAGTTCCCGTCACTCAACGCTCCCAGAACCTTCGCCCCAGCGTTGGGCCGCCCCCAAGGGTAGCGGGCAGTCCTGCGGGCCCGGGCCGTCGAGGAACGAGACCCTTGGAACACAGGCGAGGAAGCAACGGGGCCACAGAGCCCTCCCTCAGAGAGGTGCCCAATCCGAGCAGCACGATCCTGCCCGTCCCATCCCGCACAGGACAGAACACGAACAACCCTGGACTGCCAGCATGTCCCAGCGACCTGCCTGTCAACAGTGTGGTGGAGGTCGTCCTCTCTCCTTGGGCCATCGCTGACGATCAGGAGAAAGAGCAGCAGTATGGAATACGGGCTTCGCCCAAGAAAAGCCTCCACAGTATGACCATGGACCTGCAGCACTGGCGCATCGACTCTTGGAGCTCCACCCCCGCAAACTCTGTCCGTGAACTTGGGTCCACTCTCACGGTAAGCGGCTTTCTCAACACCATATTCGTGTTTACCCGTTTGTTTGTTGCAGCGCTGAAGGGCAATATTCGCATTCCTCCAGACCCCCACAGCCTCAACATCGACATGTCTGATCAAAGTAAGCCAGGTCCTCGCACACTCACTCTGACGCTTTAAGTGTTTGGTCCATCTGGAATGAACTTGAAACATACAGATCTGGCTGCACGCCCCCACGGCCCACTTGCTGGGACCATCCCTGTCATTATGCTTCTTGGCACGATGTATAACCACCAGACCACCAGCCGATTTGGCAAGGAAACCACACTCGCAGCAGAAGAATCGAGCCGTTTCACTTCCGCAGTTGTTCACCGCTTCTTCCGACGCTTCCAGCCTCTCCGCCACCCCGAAAACCTTAGGAGTTCTCATAGCGACGACAGAGAGACGGTAATCCTGCGACTGTCTGAAAATAGTCTTTACAGGCAGCCCTAGCAACCAACCCCCGAAATCGTTTAGGAGTCCCGGGAAAATAAAGTCCAGTCGTTGGGAGATCCGTTGCGAGACACCATCTTACGGGGACCCTTCTCGTTAAACAAGACGAAGTTCTGCTGAAGACCTTTCACCCAGATGGCACCGTCTTCCCAAAGCATCTCGAGCGCCACCTTGAGACCACTCGGCTCATTCGAGAAGCCTCGGCAGGTATTTCATACTAGCCACGGCTCATTGCTCTGCTGCCGATTTACAACGTCTACAGTCCCTCAGCGCGCTGACAAGATGAACAGCTATCTCAAGCTCAGGTGGGATAGTGGCGTTACCCTTTTTGTCCTGAACAAGCCCCATGATTCAACGATATCGGGCCCAGGACCGACCAAGGACAACAAAAAGCCAGGTTTAAGAGCGTTGAGGTGCAGCCCGACATTGGTGACAGCCAGAAAACAGCGTCAACGCATTTACCAGCGGCCACAGAGGCCTTCTCCGCGTTTCACCGCAGTGGCAGGGGTCAGACCACCAACACAGAAACAGAGTTGCAATGCCTCTGCCAGTCTTCTAGACTCAAGAAATTGCCGGCGATCAGGCATCCCCGGCTGCCAGCGCAACTCTTCCCTTTTTCGTCTCGCACTCTATCGCTTCGACGGCGGGCGAAAAGGCAATGTTCTCACAGATGGGCAGCACCAACAGCGCCAGGCCCCGCCCCAACCGCTGGCATGATTTTGGCAGCAGCATTCCCCACACTCCATTACCGACCTGCCCAGGGCCCTCTGACCAGCTCAAGGATGTGTTTATCTTCATCCATAGTGTCGAGAATCGACCTTCACTGAAGCGCATTGCTAGCGACAGCAGCTGGGAGGTCGACTCCATGCATGGCTTGAAGAAAATCCCCCTCCTCCCCTGGCAGCTTCGAAGTAAACTGGCGAAACGCCAAGTGAACGCAGCCGTGAGGTCCACAGAGAGACCCAAACCGTGGAACAACGCATCCTCTTAAGGGCCCAAGCCTTGACGCGGTGAAAGTGAGAAGCCCCATTAGTGGTTGTGCCCCTCAATTCCCCGCATTGGGTTTCACGCAAGCACTTGACCATCATGTGCCATTCTTGGCCTCGCACGAAGCTGCGATGCACATTGACCAGCGCATTGGCCAACCATATAGAACGCTGAGCGAGTACCATTATCCGATCCCATTTACTTTTAGAACAATAATGGCTCACGGCTTCTCCTCGCTTCCACAGAGGGTTCTCTCTCGGCAAGAGCCGCTTTCACCATCTCAGCACACAGTCGAGCGAGGGTCACATCTGAACAGGTGATTTCCCAGTTGACCAGCCCCCCCCCAGCTTTGTCTTCTGGAGGGCTCGAAAGGTATCGAGCAAGCTCTTGCTTGGAAGTCGTGTGTTCCAGCAAACGCAGGGTCTCGCCATCAAGAACGATGCCTCCTCAGTGGTATTGATCACAAGTTTCTGTATCTCTCACCTCCTGATCCTGTTCGATTGCTTTGACGTGGTTCTGGAAATCGTTGGCATCTGCCGTGGAGGCCACCAAGAGGGTGCCACCAGGGGAAAGACGCATGGGAAACGCAGGAATTGCGTGTGCCTTTTCCCCCATGGAGTAAGATTTGCGCGGCCACCTTCCAAGCGCCTCGCTGTATCTAGCCGTCGATGCTCTCATTCAAACGTTGGGCATCCTCTTCCATCATCAAAGTGCAATCTCGGTCCATAGCTTCACTGCTCGGGTAGCCCTAACAAAGCTGACCAAATGCAGCCCCCATTCCTCAATGTTTGGGGCTTCCTTTCGACCAACAACGCCGGAAGCTCTCTCAACGCTTTGCCGCGGCATTTCGGTCCCCCGAAATGCTCGCTCAAAGGCCCCAGCCAGTTTACCCCCCGCACTTCAGGCCACTACCCGGCCACTACCACTGATGCGATTAGCCAAGTAGAACGCTCTGCCGATATTGGCTTCAAATGCCCCCTCTGGCGTCGGAACGCCACCAT